TTTTTTTGGCACAATATCTATCTTAGATTGGACGGTTTAAGTACTGTGACCAAGGTCATTCCTAGGAAGCTGCAGTCCCTCAGTCTTAACCACAACAGTCTAGGGAGGTCACAGCCACCCTGTCTCTTCCCACTGACTCAGAGGCACCAGGCAGGCAGGAGTCTGAATCAGAGGTGACCATCATAGCCCGAGGTGTCCGTTCCCAGGGCCCAGAGCCAGAAAGAAGAAGTGACACATCCAATGTCACACGAAGACTGAGTGGCAGGGGAGGAGGGATTGTAACTCAGGCTCCCTCCTCTACACCAGCCAGACACTTCTACCCAGCACCAAGGAGCAAAGCTCTGTGCCAAGCAGCTGGGGACCCAAGGACACTGAAAGGAATAAATCAGGGCAGGTGCTCACCATTGGGGGCTTCTATCTTGCTGAGGAGACAACACCAGGCAGCACTCAGCCATCTGAATTAATTAATTTATTTATTCTTTTCTTTCTTTTTTCTTCTTTTTTTTTTGAGATGGAGTTTCGCTCTTGTTACCCAGGCTAGAGTGCAATGGCACGATCTCGGCTCACCACAACCTCTGCCTCCTGGGTTCAAGCAATTCTCCTGCCTCAGCCTCCCGAGTGGCTGGGCTACAGGTGTGTGCCACCAAGCCCAGCTAATTTTTGTATTTTTAGTAGAGACGGGGTTTCACCATGTTGACCAGGATGGTCTCGATCTGTTGACCTCGTGATCCACCCGCCCTGCTCTTTTTCCTTTTTTTTTTTTTTTTTTTTTTTTTTTTTGAGATGGAGTTACCCAGGAATTCAAGGCTAGCCTGGGCAACATAGCAAGATCCCATCTCTACAAAAAATACATAAATTAACCAGGCATGGAGCTGAAGGCTACAGTGAGCAATGATCACACCACAGCATTCCAGCCTGAGCCTGGATGACAGAGTGAGATCCCCTCTCTAAAATAAAAAAAGCAAAAACAAACAAACAAAAAACCCAACCCAAAATATTGGCTCAGGAAAATATCAAGAGAGAAAGTAGAAACCAATACAAAAACAATACAGCAGTGACTCAGGAAAATACAAAGAGGGAATCCAAGAACAAATTCAGCCAAATTTACATAAGAACATAATATAGGTTCAAGGTGGTATTGAAACTTCACGTTAAAGGAGGTGTTATTTGCCTTGTCAGTTTGCACTGGCATGAGCCCAAACCTGAAACCTACCTTAGACCATATACAAAAATAAATTATGAAGGAATCAAATATTTCAGTGTAAAAATAAATCACAGGGGCTAGGTGCAGTGGCTCACACCTGTAATCCCCGCACTTTGGGAGCCGAGGCAGGTGGATCACCTGAGGTCAGGAATTCGAGACCAGCCTGGCCAACATGATGAACACCCATCTCTACTAAAAATACAAAAAATTAGCTGGGCACATTGGCATGTGCCTATAATCCCAGCTACTCAGGAAGCTTAGGCAGGAGAATCACTTAAACCTGGGAGGTGGAGGTTGCAATGAGCCAAGATTATACCACTGCACTTCAGCCTGGGCAACAAGAGCAAAACTCTATCTTGAAAAAATAAAATAAAATAAAAATCACAGGCAGGCAGGATGTGGTGGCTCATGCCTATAATCCCAGCACTTTGGGAGGCCCAAGTGAGTGGATTGCTTGAGCCCAGGAGTTCGAGACCAGCCTGAGCAACATAGTGAGACCCCATCTCTACCAAAAAATAATAAATAAATAAATAAACAGACATGAAGGCGCTTATCTGTAGTCCCAGATACTCAGGGGGCAGGAGGGTGGAGTGGAGAGCATGGGGCAGGGGCTGAGGCAGGAGGATCAGTAGAGCCTGGGAGGTCAAGGCTGCCGTGAGTCATGATCATGGCACTGTACTTCAGCCTGGGCCTGTCTCAAAATCAATCAATCAAGCAAGCAAGCAATCACAGGGAAAGATGAAAATGAACATCCACACAAAGTCCTGTGGAGGCAAGATTTCTCCTCTACCCTCTTAGATCTCTGGCTGGACCTAAGAATTAAACTGACATGTGACAGATTAGTAGGAGAAAAGCAGAGAAATTTATTTAACGTAAGTTCTATGGGACATGGGAGCCCTGAAAAGGAACTGAAGACCCAAAGAGGAAGTTAGAGTGAAGCATTCATCTGTTGAATTGAACAAACAGTAGTAAATTATGGATGGGCATGGTGGCTCACACCCTTACTCCCAGCACTTTGGGAAGCTTAGGTGGGTGGATCACGATGTCAGGACTTTGATATCAGCCTGACCAACATGGAGAAATCCCATTTGTACTAAAAATACAAAAATTAGCCGAGCATGGTGGTATATGCCTGTAATCCCAACTACTGGGGAGGCTGAGGCAGAAGAATCACTTGAATCGAGGAGGCAGAGGTTGCAGTAAGCAGAGATCACACCACTGCACTCCAGCCTGGGCAACAGAGAGAGACTCTGTCTTTAAAAAAAAAAAAGAGTAGTAAATTATGGATGGGCGTGGTGGCTCACATTTGTAATCCCAACACTTCGGGAGACCAAGATGGGAGGTCTGCTTGGGCCCAGGAGTTCAAGAACAGCCTGGACAACACAGGGAGACCCCATCTCTAAAACAACAAAAAATAAAATTAGCTGGATGGCATGCACCTGTAGTCCTAGGTACTCAGGAGGCTGAGACGGGAGGATCACTTGAGCCCAGGAGTTTGAGGCTGCAGTTAGCTATGACTGCGCCACTGCACTCCAGCCTGGGCAGCAGAGTGAGATCCTGTCTCTACATAAATACATAAATAAATAAAATAGCCAGGCGCGGTGGCTCACGCCTGTAATCCCAGCACTTTGGGAGGCTGAAGCTGGCAGATCACCTGAGGTCACGAGTTCAAGACCAGCCTGACCAATATGGTGAAACCCCATCTTTAAAATAAAAAATATATAAATAAAAATAAATAAATAAAATAAAAATTATAAATAAATACATAAGTTTTTAAAGGCTGGTAAATTTTGAAAGTGTGACAAGACAAAGGGGTTTGGGCTATGGCAGTTAATAGTGGAAAAATAACTAGAAAAATAAGGGTTTGCTTAACAAGGTTGTTTATGAGGGGTGGCTGGGTAAAGGGTTGAGAAAAAAAATTCAAAAAAATAAAAAAATAAAATAAATTAAAAAAAAATAAAAAACAACGAGATTTGTTTGTATATTTCTTTTTTTTTTTCATAGTTTAATGTATTTTAATAGCAAACTTACAGGAACAGCACAGAAGACAGACAACATTAAAAACATGTACTTGCATGTAGGACAACTCAGTTAGAAAAGTATAGTGAATGGATGGAATCTACTGTGTGATAAAAATGCTACAAACACCATTTAGTTGCCGTCAATAAGAAATTTACTTGTTTTAGGCCGGGCGCGGTGGCTCAAGCCTGTAATCCCAGCACTTTGGGAGGCCGAGGCGGGTGGATCACGAGGTCAAGAGATCGAGACCATCCTGGTCAACATGGTGAAACCCCGTCT